GTGTGTGTGTGTGTGTGTGTGTGTGTCTGGTCCTAGGAGAAAAGTCAGCACAAGAGAGAAAACTTATCACAGGAGAGCCACTCAACGGCGAAGGCAGGCTGAAAGGAGGGAGAAAGACGGAGCTGGGGAGGGAAAGAGAATGACGTCCTCGCGCGGTAGAAGTAACGTTTTGAGATCTGAGCGGCCGGCACGCTGACGTTTTTAAAGGCGTTAACTGAGGGTAAGGAGGACGGAGATCTTCGTCGCTGCTGCGTCCTCTCAGCTCTACCTACCATCCTGGCTTTTGCTCATTTGACCTCGTACCTCTCTCGTGTCCCTCGTTGTGCTACTAGGGTTCGCTGCCTCTCGCCTTTCTCTCTCTCTCTCTCTCCCTCTCCCTCTCTCTCTCTCTTTTTCTCTCTCTCTCTTCGTCTGTTTATCGATCTCTCTTGTTTGTCCGTCTGTCAGCCTCCGCCCTCTCTCTGTCTTTTCCCCTGCGGTTTTCCAGCGCCAACACCCCCCGTAGTCCTTACTCTTGTGGCTGGAGCGTTGTCCTTTGCTTTGCGCGTGTTGTGAGATTTTGCACCTCCGAGCCAAGGCGTCGGAACAGTGAAGGTGGCAAGATGCATCCGTGATTATTGCTAGTAATGGATGTACCTTGCCACGTTTTGCTCATGTTTGCATTCGCTTTTTTTTTTTTTTTTTTTCCCCTCTCCTGAGTTGTGTGGCGAACCCCGGAATCTCATTTCGATCCCAATGGAGGACTTTGGCAGCTTCTTCCGTGCATATATTCCTTGAGCTGTGTGTACACGCTTTGTTCTGAAATTGCAACTTTTTTCGATTGCGTGTAAAAGAGCAATTTGGTCATTGCGTACCTCCTTCTTCTTACCTGCGTGGCAACCAACAGTGAGGTCGTACACTGTATGGTGGCTATGTCTACACACCCTGGTTGGGTGCGCGTGTGTGACTGGGTACACCGGGTCGCGGGGAAAAACGAGCACCCGTGCTGGGGTGGGGTTAAGTACTCATCTTGGGGCTTAACTTTCACCCCAGTCCACTTAGCCGTTTGGTTGAGTGTTTGCCTCTTAACGTGGAGGTCACGTGTTTGAGCCTTGGATCGGTGCCGACGGACAGATTGCTGTCTGGAGTAAGTTCTTGTTGCTCCCAATTGCGGCATGGCTATGTGCCTCGCTCCACCACTCAACCGAATCCGCGAAATGAGAAAGAATCTTCCGCTAGAACATGGGAAGATACACTGCGCATAATTTTTGTCCTGGAGTGGGGCCCTTTGTCCTCTTCCAAGCAAACATGTATTCCTTGCTTCCTTCCTTCCTTCGCTTACTTCTCCGGATCATCATGTTTAGATCTACTTTTTTTCTCCCTCTGGTTTTCTTTTTTCTTTTTTTTCCAGTTAGATTAGGGCTGCTTCTGTCTCTTATACACATCTAGATGTGTATAAGAGACAGGATACACTGCGCATAATTTTTGTCCTGGAGTGGGGCCCTTTGTCCTCTTCCAAGCAAACATGTATTCCTTGCTTCCTTCCTTCCTTCGCTTACTTCTCCGGATCATCATGTTTAGATCTACTTTTTTTCTCCCTCTGGTTTTCTTTTTTCTTTTTTTTCCAGTTAGATTAGGGCTGCTTTCTGCCGATCGTTCAAAGTAATTTGCTCTTTCTCTTCTGGTCTGGTCTGGTCTGGTTGTTTTTTTTTGTTTTTTTTTTTGGTTGCATTATTTGGAGCGAAGCGACGAGCGAAAGAAGACATCAGCAGCACAGATGAACACACCCGTGGCGATGTTGCGCTTGCACGCGGATTGCGCGAGATACTGCGTCTCGCCCCACTAACCACCACATTCTCATTTTGCACATTCCGTGGAGTTGTAGAGCGAGGCCTGCCGACCGTAGATCATCAAAGATCAAGAGCTGGCTTGAGTTCAGTGCATGAGAGCAAGTCGCCAGGATTCTCGTCGTAAGTGAGAAAGAGAGGGCCTCCCTTCGCTACTCCCCTTATGTACAAAAAGACGAAAAATATGGAGGTGTATCTTTCCATGTTCTAGCGGAAGATTCATTCTCATTTTGCACATTTGGTGAGCAGCGGAGCAAGGGCCAGAGAAGAAAAGGTCAGGTAGGGGTGGCGTTAGAATTGAAGAGAAGGGCATGTATGCGAAGTGGTGAGTACATCGCGTTGAATCGTCTTATTACGTGGGAAAGCCTAAGTACCCTAATATTATGAACTTCAGGCTCTGGAATGCGTCACTCTTCACAGATTCGGGTATTAGACAGAATGAAAGCGAACTGCGGAAAAAAAAGCAAAAAAAAAAAGCAAAAAAAAAAAGCAAAAAAAAAAAGCAAAAAAAAAAAAAAAAAAAAAAAAAAAAAAAAAAAAAAAAAAAAAAAGCAAAAAAAAAAGCAAAAAAAAAAAGCAAAAAAAAAAAAGCATTGACGGTGAGCACAGTACCCTGTTACTAGTATTATGATGCTAACGAAAGGCGGCGTATTGACTTGGTTGTGGCCTTTTTGCGGTCCGGCCTTTTCCAGCCTTTGGAAACAAAGACAAGTTGATGGAGAAATGGACTCAAATTACGGCCTTTGTCTCGAAGAAAGGTGTTTTAGGGCGTACTCACACTAGCTCTCTATATCTTAAATGCATCCGACCGCATTTACGGCCTGTGCTGGATGATTGTGACCCATATTACGTCCAAAAATAAAGAAAAAACGTCCTAGTGTGAGTATACCCCTAGTTATGAACGAATTTCTACTTGAATCTGCACATCTACGTGCGTACTCACACTACCGCTAGATCTTAGATGCATCGGACCCTTTTTATGGTTCGTCCAGAAGTAAGTATGCTCTGAATCGATTAATGGACAAGACCTATGTATGTAGTCTCTCTCTTGTAATTTTGGAGTTGATTGTAAAAAGCAATTTGCTTTGGGAGACGCGCTAATTTTTAAAGAAACAGATTTTGTCTTTTCGGAACCCATGAAGAGAAGTCGATGATTTTTTTTTATTTTTATTTTTTTAATCAGTCGATGGTTTTTCACATTAATGACAACCTGTGTGAGAGGTGATCAATGGTAAAAAAAAAAGAGTGTTTTTGTTAAAAGAAAAGGAAGAAATTGTGTTCAAGTACAAGGAACGGAAAGCTAAATGGTGTTTTTTATGGATGTGCCTGTGTGTGCTGACGGTCGAGTAGAGGAGAGTCTCTCTCTCTCTCTCTCTCTCTCTCTCTCTCTCTCTAAGTGCATCCCGACGCCACGGGGAAGGTCGGCCTTCCGGCAGAGGTGTGTGTTCCGCCCGCGCTCCCTGAGATCATCCAGCAGTTGGCATCACTTTCGCCCGGGATGGCATCGAGAGAAAGGACTGGCTATCGTTGGTCGCTCTGTTCAAAGCAAGGCTTCGCTCTCATGTGATTTTTTTTTCTTTTTCCCGGGGTTGATGGAGAATTGAGGTCACATGTCGTTATTGTGGCGCGGCAGAGGTGTGTGGTCCACGCCGCCTCCGTGGCTATGGAGGAGGTTTGTCTAGAGAAACAAGAGGGGGAAGGAGACGCATTTCGTTTTTGTGCCGCGGAGCTAAGTCAGACCGATGGGGATCGGGATCGGGATGGTGATGCTCGTGAATCGATCGGCGCCGCCCCTTCTGCGGCGGAGGCGGTGGCGGTCGGTGTTCCGGCGGACGATCTGCTGTCTTTCGCGGAAACGATGATTTCTTGCCCCGAGGAGGATGGCGATTTGCTGTCTATGGGTTTTGCGGATGGGTTCAGCGAGCCGCCGGCGGCGGCGGCGGCGGCGGCGGAAGTTGTTGCCTCTACTGTCGATATTTCGCGGCAGTTTGAGTTGATGGAGAAAGGCGAGGGAGACGAAGGCGACGACCTGTGGGGAATAATGGAAGCTGTGGATATGTCTCCAGAAGGCGATGCCTATGGCATGGACGATGAGTGGCTGTGTCTCCTCGCCGACTCTGCTAGCGCGGGTGTGGAAGATGAGCAGCGATCGTCCCTGGTTCCACTTACAAACCCACTGGATTCCGGGACGGAAGATAAGCCGATGGACATAGAGGGAGAGGGAGGGGATCTTCGTAGCGAGGGTTTCGTCGGCAGTCATCTGGTCAACAACGCTTCTCTTCTTACTGCTGCTTCTGGGTCCTCCCTGTGCTCATCCCTTCCCTCTCGGGACTCCTGTTTGGGGATTTGCATCCCAGTCGATCCCGCGCCATCACGCGTTATTGATGGGGATGTGCTGTATGATGGCAGCGGGGCGCGGACGGTCTCGCCGGCCGGGATCGCACCACAACCAGTGCGCGTTGTCGGCGGAGGGGGGGACGCTGCTCCTCTGAACCCCCCGCCAGATGTATCTTCTGCTCCTGTTAAATTCCCCCCCTCCCCCTCACTTGTTCCGCATGCAACAGTCGATGGACTGCGGTTTGACGGAGATCCCAAGGGGGCAACAGCAACGGCGGCGGGGAAAGGCGGAACCTCCGCCGTGCGCTCGTCCACCGCCGAGGCGCAGAACTGCAAGCTTTCGACCGATAGCGCCGAGGCGCGGAACTGCAAGATTTTGACCGATTGCGTGGAAAGGCCGGTCCCGGTCATCTCACCGCCAGAGCAACCGTTATATGGATCCGATTCGAGCAGTCGGCACGAAAGGGATTGCTCGGAGGCGGAGGAGAATGCGTTGTCGGGAAGAGCAGAGTCGCCCAGGGAGTGCAGTCAGATAGCGCGCAAGACGAATGCTGATGATGCGTTAGTGGACGAGAGGATGGGCGATGCGGCTGCGGCTGATGGGAGCAAGAACAGTAGTCTGGAGGCTGTCCATCTCGTGGCATCCGATAAATCGGCACCAGATCCGCGAAGCAGTGGGTCAGATTTCCTCAGTACAGCTGCGCTGGCTTCCGATTTGACTTGCGCACAATCGTCTATGGAGACAGCAGCGCAATCGTCTATGGTGATTGCGACTTCAAGACACCTCCTTGCGCCGTCTGATGGCGGGACTTCCCAATCGCCTGCCGTGGAGCAAGGAAGGGTGGCTGCATTCCAGGGGGGGCTCGGAGCACACTCTTTCTCTCCGTGTATGTTGCCTGACTCCGCGGCTGCTGCCCCTCGCTGGTCGATGACAAGGGCAGCGGCAGCTTGTACAGGGGAGTTGGTTGACACCGCGTCGCCGCGTTCAGGGAGAAGCGTGGCTTGCGCCCTTCCGCCGGCTGCGGGGGCTTCACCGCAGTCGCCTCCCGCCCAAGACACTTCCGGAAAGGACGCAATGGTGAGGCGGGGGGATGGTGCAGCGGGCGGCGGCGAGAAGACCACCGCACAGGGCTTGCCAGGTAAATTCCCCCCCTCGGAGACTTCGGCGGCGGGGTCCGGCGATGGGTTCGTCAATGACACTAGGATCCGTGCGCCTCTTGCGACCAAAGCCACCTCAGCGAAGTCGGGCCGTGGTGGAGGTGCGCAGGGCGCAGGTTATGGGATGGCCAAGCGTAGCAACGATTTGTCGGCCGCCGCAGCGGGTGGAGGAGAGCGTCGCACCAGCCCCGCCTCTAGTGAGAGAAATGCTAGCAGTCCAGAAACATGTCGGAGCGGAGGAGGGAGTGCGGTCGGCGCAACCTCTTCTTTGTGCTCTAGGGATTCTGGCGCCGGTGACGATTCGGGAAACGACGAGCAGCAGTTTAGCGCCCACGGGGATGAGCGCCACGCCGGACCTTGGCAAGAGAGAGAATGCAGCAGAGGTATTGGTCTCGACAGAGATCAGCAGCAGCTGGAGCAACAGCAGCAGCAGCAGCAGGAGCAACAGCAACAACAGCACCAGCAACAGCGAGAAGATCGTCGATCCTCGTCTTCCTCGTCGACCTCGGTATTGAATCCGTCTTCTCCGGAAGGAGGAGAGGGAGTAGGGCAAGGTGAAATAGCGACAGCTATGGTGGACTATAATGACGGCGGTGGTGGTGGGGAGAACAGCGATGAAGGTGTTAAGAGTGCGAACGGCGAGGCTGACAAGAAGCAAGCGCGGCTCTTGCGCAATCGCGAGAGTGCTCAACTATCGCGTCAGCGGAAAAAAGTCTACGTCGATGATCTGGAGAATCGCCTGCGTACTATGGCGGCAACGATCGCCGAGCTGAACGCTACCATAGCTCACCTGACCGCAGATAACGTCGCCTTGAGGAGGCAGTTAGGTTACTTCTATCCTGCCCCCCCGGGAGGTGGCGCCCCGCCGGCGGGGATAGCAGCAGCAGGCGGACCGATCATCGCTGGCGGAGGGGTGGGTAGCATGTGCGGAGCTGCCCAAGTAGCGCACATGTACGGCGGAAGCGGAGCGCCAATGATGTTGCCAAGGCATCCAGGGGTCATGCCCCCTCTAGGAGTTGCGTCGATGTTTGGCCATGGAGGGCAAGCTCCGCCTATACCCATACCCCGATGGCCGTCACACAGGGCGGCGGCGGCGGCTTCCGCAGCCGCGACCGGGAGTAAGAAACAGAAAGGAAAGCGATCGGCTAGCCGTGAGGCAGAGAAGGAAGCGTCGACTTCGGCCTCTGCTGCTACGGCGACGGCTGCAGCTCCTACTTCTGATAGAGAGAAAAAGCGCACCAAACGCGATAGCAGGGCTGTCCTCACGCTCTCACTCTTTTGCTTCGTCCTTGTGTTCGTTCCATTCGGCGGGCTATGGGATTGGTCACCGTTGTCCCCTTTTGCGGCCCTCCCGGAGAGCCGGGGGGGCACATATATACCCCCAGGAGGAAGAGGAGGAGGAGGAGTTGGCGTCGGTAGTGAGCACGATGGCGGGCGGATTTTGGTAGACTCGGGGGGCGGGGGGGGTGGAAGACCCCCAGGTGGAAGGGTGTTGATGGGCCTGGGGGAGGAAAGTGGTCCCGGAGACCCACCAGGTGACAGGAGGGAAGAGGGGGAGGGAAGGCAGGACGAAGGCGGCGAGATGTGGCGGCGTGGCAACGCGACCATCTTGCAGCCTCCTGTTCCTCTGGAGCGGGCGATGTTCTTGTCTGGCGGCCACTCGCCAACCGTGAAGCCCTCCTCGTCCTCGGCGAGGGATGCAGCAGAGAAAGAGAGCCTCCTGATTTTGAACAGAACCGTCATCGGGCGCAACACGGAGATCGTGCCGGCGTCGTTGATTGTGCCAAGAGGTCATGAGATCGTAAGGGTGTATGGAAACCTGATTATTCAGTCTGTAATGGCGGGCGACAAAGCTGCCTGGGGTCATCGGGAAGGGAATGGGGAGGCAAAAGGGGGGGGAGGAAGAGAGGGAGGCGGAATGCCAGGCAATGCGATGTCGGACACAGACCGGCACCAACTCAAGGCGATGGCGTCTTTGTCTATCAATGGGGGGGGGGACGGTGGTGCCGTGGCCATGAATTATCCCACCAGCGGGAATGCCCTTCCGGCGTCGGCCTCAGAGCGGTCTGGCCAAGGACAATCATCCGCGGGGGGACGACCGGTCGCACCTGGGCAATTGGGATCGTCGTCGGGGTCGGGATTGAAAGGTGGGGAGGAGAGAAGGGGCCAAGCCTCTTCTCGCCGCCACCACCATCATCTCGACCACTACCCCTCCCATCATCACCATTACGAAAACACTTGGATTTTTGGGCCGGGGGGTCTCAGTGGGCCCGTGCTGACCTCAGGGGTTTGCACAGAGCTTTTCCAGTTTGAAACCTCGTCTTCGAGTATAGTACCAGACGTTGTGGTTGGGACCTCGACGGAGGAGGAGGAGGCGGGGCAAGGTGGCGCTGGTGCCGGCGGAAGTGGAACGATATCGTGGAAGAAGGCCATGGAAGGCCGTGTGGCGGCGATGGCGGCGACGGAAGCAGCACGCCGAGCGGCTGCAGTCGGATCTGGTGGAAGTGTGCGAATGCCAACGACGGGCACGATAGAGAAGGCGGAGGCTGGAAATGGTGATGATTTGAATTTGACAGAGGCGATGGGGCAAACACAGGGGAAGCACGGTTACTATGACTACGGAAGGAAGGGGGGTAGGTGCGTGAAGGACAAGCGCGTTAAGCCTCTTCCTTCAGCCTCAGCGGGAGTAAACGCTACGGCTGTTGCTATGGAGAAGGTAGCAAACGGCGGAAGGCGGGCTAACGGATCGCAGTATGAGGATCGGTGTACACGGGAGGATGCGTTGGCAGATGTGAGAGTGGGTGCGCGGAGTAGGGGAGGCGGAGAGGTAGGTGTAAATGGGAGTGACAGGCGGTCAATGGAAGGCGAAGAAGATCCGACAGGGAGAAGCTTTGGCTATGGCGGTAGCAGGACTGATAAATCGCTCCCAAGCACGATGGTCGTGTCGGTGCTACTGCCGTCTATGCAGCCCGGCGAGGACTCCGCCGCGGGTGGAGGACGAGGAGGAGGAGGGTCATCCACGGGGAAGAATGGAGGGTCGGGGTCAGGTCCGGGAAAGCTGACACAGATCTTCGTTGTTGTGCTGGTAAATAGCGTCAAGTACGTTACCTACTCGTGTTTGCTGCCGACTTTGTCCGCCACGGCTGCGGCAATGGCAGGGCCCACGGCGGCGGCGGGAGCAGCAGCAGCAGCAGCAGCAGGAGCAGGCGTCCTGTGAGGAGAGGGGGGGAGGCAATCAGCCAGCTGTGCGAGAGATGAGGTGCCAAGATGGATACAGGACGGTCTGGGAGAACGAGTTACTCCCTTGTTTCCTGACCATGCACCCACCTCTCGCGCTTCTGCCTGCTTGCCTCTCTGTCTACGTCTGGCTCATGGATCCATCAATGGCGCGTGAATGAAGGTGAGCGTGGTCCAATCGCTAAGCCGTCGCTTGCTTGCTCCTGTCAGTCATGTCCGCTTGGGCTTTTTGCCTTAACAGTAGTGTATATGCGTATGCGTGCTAATTCCTCCCAAAGCTCAGCCCTGTTCCCGAGTGTGTGCTTGCTGGTGATGTTGTGGATCGTTTGCCCTCGATGACCGGACGAGGCTGTGCCCACGCTTGTCTGAAAATTAGTCCGTTGTCCTGCGGGACATCCGTTGAAATTGGAACGATACAGAGAAGGGTAAATTAGCAAATGGCCCCTGCGCAAAGATGACACACATAAATCGAGAAATGGTCCACAATATAAAAATAAAAATAATAAAAAAATAATAAGAAAATTTAGTCCGTTTACAAGGGGAGACGCTTCGTAAGCTGATCATAACGTCAGAGTCCAGACAGTTTGCCGCCGATTTGATCACACCCCACTTCCGGACCCGACCGCGGACTGGACATAGCATGTCCGCTTTTCACCCAAGGACACTGCATGCAGTGCATGTGCACTGTTATGCTCTTCTCGCTCCTTAGGCCTGGCCTGCAACCATGTTGTGGTTATGGGGGGGATGCCGTGCGTCGGATGATCCCAGCCATCGAGAATTTTCCTATAATATGGTTAAAAAATTCTCTTTGTCATCACCCATATCGCCTTTGTTGCACCTGACCCTCTGCTTGCACGGTCTGCTTATACTGATCGTCTTCTGCTGCCCGAGATTCATGCGTCACACGGGCGATACCATGCATGTCAGCAGTGTGCTGTCACAACCACGCAAACGTGCGGAACCTGAAAGCTGATATACATGCAACGTTAAAGATGGAAGGAAAAAGTAAAACCGGAAAGAAGAAACATAAACAAACACTTTCTGTTAATTTACTCCCTTATGCAATCTTACTTTCTACTTTCTGTTTTGCCACCACTTTCTGTCTTTGCTTCCTAATGGAATCTACCACTTTCTGTTTTTTTTCACTCCTTATGGAATCTTAGCTGTGAAGGGGAGGGTGTGTCTGTCTTATTCTGGGCTTCTGTTGTTCCTTTCTGCTATTCTCTTGTTTGGCAAATGTGGTCGTAGCAGCTCATCACTGTGGCACGGGAGGTGCATGCGAATCTAGTCAGTTTTTGTTTTTGCTGCTCGATACCTTTTGCTCTCTACTCACAGTTCCTCTGCAGCACCAGTGTGCCTAGTCGATAGCTAAGCTATGTGCCGGTATATACTGTCAAAGCACTATGACACTGTGTGGCTTATAACCAGAGCTCACCTTTGGGTTTGCGATCATAGCCTCTTTGACAAATCAGCGGGCGTGATTCCCATGTTTCTTTCTTTATTTTTTGGTGAGATTCTGATGTTTTTTTTTTCTTTTTCTTCTTCTTTTTTTTTCAATATTTATTGCATTCGTGTATTTCCATCTGAATGCGAACTCAGGTCTGCATTTCAGCAGTTCACGTGTGGCCTAGCCCATGCATGGTCTTTTCATTATTTCAGTACCTATGCCCAACATTCCCGAGAACATGAACTGAGCTCAACCGATTAGAGTGCTTCTGCGGCCGTTCTAACGACTGCTCCATTCGTGGTCTAGCGGTGACAGTTGTGGCAGTCTACAATCCCTCAGGTCAACCTCCTTAGCGGCTTGAAGGAGGGTGGTTTCTCTCTCTCTCTCTCTCTCTCTCTCTCTCTCTCTCTCTCTCTCTCTCTCTCTCTCTCTCTCTCTCTCTCTCTCCATTCGTGGTCCAGCAGTAACAGTTGTGGCAGTCTACAATCCCTCAGGTCAACCTCCTTAGCGGCTTGGAGGATGGTTTCTCTTTCTCTCTCTCTCTCTCTCTCTCTCTCTCTCTCAGGAGGTGACTGACGACATATTTAGGAATAAGTCCCATTGGACATCGTCAGGGAAACCAAGTGCAGAATTGAACGGAAAAGGGCCTTGCTGTGGTACTCTCCAATAATGCACAAAATGAGAATGAATCTTCTAGTAGAAGATGGGAAGAAATGACAGTGCCATATTTTTTGTCTTTGGGCATGTGGAGAGTAGTGCGGCGAAGGCCCGGAAGGTAAGTGAGAATTATGAATCAGGTCTTGGGGGAATTGCCCTTGCTTCAGGGGCAGATAGAACCCTCTGCGCATCCCATCTTACTATGAGTTGGTGAAGACACTTCCCCTGATGTTGATGCTAGCAGACTGAGTTCTTCCGTGTGTGGGCATTCTTGCGCTTCACAACCAGAGTCGCAAATAGCTTGCCAGCTATTTGATTTTTCTCCCTTTGATGCGGCCGTTGGGATTGCCTGCCAATGGCTGTCTTTTTTCTTTCTTGTGTCGCCACAGCCGTTGATCCTTAGAACATTTCTTGAGGAATCATGAATGACCATCGAATTGAGACCTTGTTTTCTCTCTTTTTTTCTTTTTTCTTTTGTGTGTGTGTCTGGGAGTCGTTTTTGTGGCTTGGTTTCTCAAGAAGCTACAAGTGTGATCAGAAAAAAAAAGGAAGAAAAAAGTGTGGTCATGAACTGAAGTGAAGGTCTGTAACGATTAGGCTCTCAAAATGAGACCTTGAGTATACTGAAAATAGGCTCTCAAAATCGCAGAATAGCAAAATGAGCGGGCGGCCAGATCGAGTGCTTCAATTAGGAGGACTGGATCTGAACGCCGATTTTGGGATTCTGCGATTTTGAGTGCCTACCGGTAGTCTGAGTCTGCCCTAAGAGTGGAGGAGACAAGATAGTTTTTTTGGGGCATACGTAACGACGTCGTCACAATTTCTCCGAATTTTCTCAAGGGACATTGGTTCACTTTCTCATTATCTTGGTGGATCTTGGTTGGATATTTGCAACGGTTGGCGTATTCCTTATTCTTGTCCGGTCTTGTGGGATGTATGCAGCTTGTGAGGTGTGAAGAAGGAGGCATCCAGAAGGCTTGCCTAACCTAAGGTGTGTGTTCCGTTCCCTTTTTCGTTCTGCAGGGGGTCAGCATTCACCACCTTATAGGTGTGTGCGCGTGGATTGTCTCCGGTCGAGGGCAGGGACACAAGAAGGCAGGTGGTGCTTTGGGTCTTGAAGGACCCATGGGCCCACTGGTCAACGTGGAGGGAGGTGATAGGAGACACGAGGAAGGCTGAAGACGGTGGATGCTATGATCAGCTAACAGATTGCTTATTATTTTGAGGAGGAGAGTATTATAAGGGCCTGGTCTCAGATTCGTGATTCGAGGACCCCCGTTTGAGACCTACTGAAATCTAGCTTCTCCCTAGATTCAGGGGAACTCAAAAGGCACGAGTCAGGAATGTGGAATCAGGCCTTCAGTCGGAGTAGATGGGTGTTAGGCGAATAGTTGATTCAGATACTTTGTGGATGGGCGACAATGTGGAAACAGGTTTGGTTGCTCGATCTCAGAGGCTTATCTTTCCTGTTTACCATCCAATACCTCCCTGTAGAGAAATGTGGAAACGAGTTCGTTTGACAATTTGTTCTGTGGGTGGGTCAGTGGGTGGGTGGGTAGGTTAGGTGAAACATTGTGCTGGTTCTTTAGAGTTCTCGTTTTGCTCACGTCTTGGTGTTCTCACCCTTTCCTGTCGCTCTAATCTGCAGGGCGGCGGACCATGTACAGACAGTTTTTGCTTCTGCGATCGCTATCTGCTCATCAGTGGCCTTAAGTGCCACTCATGTCCGGGTAACTACTGAGGTGGACGGGTGTGTGTTGCTTTGAAACGGCTTGATGGTTGTAGTTCGTCTGCCTCCGGCACGACTCACCTTGTACTTTGCTAGAGTGCTGCACTGCTACTTGTATATTTATGCTTAAGTTTCTGTACTCTGATGTTCATTTCACTGCGTTTCTGTCCATCCGTTTCTCTCTCTCTCTCTCTCTCTCTCTCTCTCTCTCTCTCTCTCTCTCTCTCTCTCTCTCTCTCTCTCTCTCTCTCTCTCTCTCTCTCTCTCT